CAACCTCCCGATTCCCTGCGCCTGCCACGAATCTTTCCGCGTCCACACGTCTAACGCGCACAAAGTACTGCGCCTGCCACGAAATGTCACCTCCGTCACACATCGCAACCTCACGATTCCCTGCGCCTGCCACGAAAATCCCACTTCCACACCTCAAAGCCCGCACAAAGTCCTGCGCCTGCCAGGAAAAGTAACAATGTCGTCTCATGTGAGCTTCAACAAAATTTGCACCACACCACACGTTTGGAATGATTTCGACCCGTTCTGAGCACACTCCCATCCACCAAAATCGGCATTTCAGCTGAGACTTGTCACGAAAACAGAGCTTCGAGGCCACACCCTGAAACGCAAATCCCAATGGCACGGCCACATCCAACACCCCAAAAACACGACTCTCCAAACGCTAATCCCAATGGAACTGCGTAGCAAACTGCGGATCTCACAAAACGATGCGCCTGTGCAGTGAAATGCATCACGCTTCTTGCGCGACATGTCCTTTTCACGCAAATCACAATGGACTCGCGTCGCAAACTAACACGTGACACATCCATGCATAGTCACTTGCAAAAGCTTCCCCCAATGGCAGCGCCTTAGCGACCTACTGCGGACGGTTGCGGACGGTTGCGAACGGTTGCGAACGGTTGCGAACGGTTTGCGGACGGTTGCGAACATAGAAGCAACGGGTCGCGAACAAGACTCTACCCCCAGACCCCCAGAGTTAAACGAGAACCCTTCGCTACGCATTCGGGAAAAAACACTGTATGTATATAACTATATACAATACATTACCCTACATACAAATGCAGCCACACAAGAACACGACGCAAGCATGCACAAACAGTCTAAGTGTCTGATATTCGGCTGCTTCTGTGCTTCTGTTTTGGCGGCTGTATGTATGCTGCAGCATGCTCAAAGAAAATGACTGAAAACAGCAGGTTCTTATCTTTCTTGGGCACCTTGCAACCTTGAGCCCTCATACCACCAAAATATCAGCAACATTCGATGTCAGCTCCTGCTCTTGCTTCTTGCGGAAGCAGCCGCACAAAGGCAAGTTGCTGCACTTGTGCCTCCCAACCATCGAATGCCAAAGAACACCCACAAGTAACCAACAAATAGTGGTTCATAAAAATGCTAGCAGTGCCATCCTGCGTGGTCACATGTGACACACTCTAAGCGGGTTGTCTGTTGACCATGCCCAGGTGTCTATCACCTTCTTTGTGAAGAAAACGGGAATGAAACGAGAAGGTGAGAGCTCCTTTAAAGGCCCTTACTTGAGGGGCCCGGACCTGTTGTTCTTCATTGTTCTTTTGTCATGACTTTTGATTAATTCGTGCAGTGGAGCTCCCTCACCTATGAAAGAGAGAGGCCAGTGCTGCACCGGCCATGGCCGCCCCCACCACTGCCACTAGAAGGAAGGCTGCCGGGAAACGGCTCCCTTGCAGGCAGGCAGAAGAAAATGCACTCAATGACTCACAGATTGCCGAGTACAGTAGGTCCTGTCCAAGACTGCTCTTGAAGTAAAGGCCCATTTGTTTACAAATGTTCATTGAGTAGTAAGTATGTTGACATGTCGACATGTCATGAATCGCGAGTGGGCCTTCATCGAGCTCTGTGATTCCTGCAAACTGTGGCCCACTGTTCACACCAGAGGAGTCGCCAGTGCCGCCGGTGGAGCACATAGCATCGTGTAGCCTCCAATCCTGACGCACTTGCTCTTTTTCTCCCACGCGAAGCCCGGAACTCCCCGAGTTTAGCTGCAAATCAAGCGGCCGCACAGTGGTGCAAAGGGAAGAAAGGCGCCTCAAAGGTGTGGCGAGATCTCACAGATATTGTGGCAATCAACTGGCAACTGCACTGGCACTCAACTGATGTATATAGAAGTTTGGACCACAAGGAACATTGTCACGATGTCAAACACAATGTCAAAGGGAATGTATTTGAATCAGTCCAAGTGGCTGAAGATGGGTCAGAGTGGCACCAAGCATCCATGGCTTCGGTGCAGGAGAGCCCTTCAATGACACTCTCATTGGTGGCGTTCTCCTACGCGCGAATGGGACAATATTTATACGCGTTCGCAATTCGCACCTGCGACCAGCACTTCCAGAGCACTCCTAAAAGACGAACTGATCACCAGATATCCTTCATACCTATGGCCAAACCATATTCTTGCCACACAATCCCACAATACTGTAATACTATGCTTACACAATACTCCCTACTGTACTACATTATATATAGCGGTGAAGCCACATGCAAGTGCTCCCAAAAGCCAAAAAGCAGCTTTAATATAGGGCAAACTGCCTGAACCGAACTCTGGGCAAAGCTTTCAAAAGGCTAACAAAATATCGTGTACTGTACCACCACTAGCAGAGAGAGATCTGAACAATCCCATGCCAGGACTGCCTGAAGCCAAGGCTGTCAAGCCTGTCTTTTCCTTTCCTCTAACAAGCTGTGGGCAATCACAGCACGAAACTCCTCCAGCTCCTCGCCTGTAGTGGACTCTCCACCCTGTCAGGGATTCAGCAACGGAGTAAGTCCACAAAATCACCTGCAAACAATATAAAACTTCTTGGCAACCCTGCAGACATTCAAGTTTGCGCTAAGATTTCTCCATACTACAAAGATCACCTGTGATTCCAATGTGGTTCCATGGATAAACTGTCGCCTCAGGCACTGTTGTGCTGGGTGCAGTGGCGGTCAAAGAGCGCGTTGCTGTGGTCACTTTCCCCTAGCGAAATTGGGACACTGGCGTCAGGTGTCCCGCTGATCACTGACGTTCACGTGGTCGCAAAAGACCAAGTGGATCCAAGTGGGTCGTTTGTCAAGCGGGTTGGACATCGATGAGGTGTATACAACCACCCAGACTCCAAACCCAAAAATAATTCCTCCAAAACCGAAAAATATACTCCTCAAGATCGAACTGCATTTCTTGTGAATCGGAAATGGGTTTAACATCAGCTTGCCATCAATGATATGGCATGAATTGTCATGATTACTTGCTTGATGCTGCTAATACACAAAGATCCTGTGTCCCTGTGCCGTCCTTCGGTGCAGTGGTGGTCGGCATTTCGGAGGTGGTGGATGGGTCTTCCTTATATGCTTCAACCTTGCAACACCTGACTGCCTCAAACGCCATGAAGAGAGCAAAGCATTGAAAACACAAACAGGAAACACATCACAGGAGATATACGCACTGCGATGTAGCATGTAGGAGAATAAGAGAAAAAGGATATGAAAAAGGGAAAGTAAAGCCCCTTTTTCATCTCTGCTTTCTCTTTTTACTCTCTCGCCCTTCGTGCACCTTGCACCATACTATATTTTTACTATGAAATTGAATCTAACTGATGCATATCACTCCAGCATCTATCACGTCTGTGCTGGTTGAGGACCAGGTCGTGCTCTTGATTGGCGTGCTGCTGCCCTCAGATGTGAAACGAAGGTACCAAAACAGGGCTTGGAATGAACCCAACAGTCGACATGGAGGCACGAAGGGCGACATAGCAACAGTTGATACTCTGCAGGCCTTGATATCACCGAACTTGCACAACTTGCTGGCAAGTTCGGTGAGTATCTAAAGCACATGAGCATCCACAAATGGAAGTGAACCTAGCATGTGCGTCAAGACTAATTATATCTATATAATACATAATTACCAGTGACTACCAGAGCTGCTGGCTGCTGATTCCACCATCCATCCCCTACACATTGTGACATGAAGCGAGATGAGCTCTTTGATGCAAAAGGTTGCAAAGGAGCACTTGGAGCCAGTCCAAGAATGCACTTGGAGCCAATGATGAGATAAGAAGTCCTGTTGAGACAAGCCTCGGACAGTCTAGTAGTAGAGCTCGCAGTGATAGTTCCCAGGATCGAGCCTGCAAATGTCAAAAGACTGGAGAATGTTCAAGAAAAGCTCGAAGCTGACAAACAAACGGTTGAATCATTTGACCTAGGAGAAGGGAACCGAAAAGCGAGTCGTTCAAAAAGAACTTGCCTTGGTAATCTCAGTAGATGAATCATGCTATGCTGTTGCACTTCGTTCTTCTGCCCAGTGCCAGCATCGGGGCATCTTCTAATCACAACAAACATGCAAACGGTACACACACACACATGAGCCTTGGGCTGTTGTGCGAGTTCCTGTGCCTGTGACTGTCCTGCTTGTCCTTGTGTCTGTTGCAGTGGTGCTCAGAGTCTCACTTGTGGAACTGCCAGTCACTGCGGCTTTGTTGCCACTGGTTGTAGTGATTGTCGTGCCAGTCGTGGCTGTCTCACTTCTCGTGGTGCCCCTCAGAGTGGATGTTGGCGTCACACTTCTTGTGCGGCTCGAAGTAGCTGTGAATGTCTCACTTGTCATGGTGCCAGTGGAGGTGCCACTCAGAGTCGTGGAGAGGGTCTCAGAGAAGGTCTCACTTGTCATGGAACCTGTGGAAGTAGCTGACAAAGTCTCGGTGCTTTCTGACATGCTAGTTGTGAGAGTCGTGAGAGTTCGAGTCTTGCTGGCCATGGTGCCAGTCAAAGTAGTCGTGAGACTCTGACTTGTCAATGTGCCTGTCAGTGTTGTGATCGTTTCACTTCTCGTCGTGCCGGAAAGAGTTGTTGTGAAAGTCTGAGTCCATGCCAACGAGGTCGTCCACGTCTTGCCTTGACCAAATCAAATCTTCTGCATCAATCAACATCGAGACCTATCAACAAACCGTTGACACCTGCGTGGTTCTGTCCAAACTGGGCAACCCACTGGCAAAAATCAAGTGAACATGTTTTCGGGAAAACAGGTTGTTGCATGCTTTTGCAGGTCTTGATTTTGGAAGCAAATAAGATAAAATAAGTCAGCCGACTTGAAGTTGTGCTTGAGATCGTCTCATTCCTGGGCGACAGTCATGCGGGAGGTGGCACACATGGCAAGAGACTCCACGCAACTCAAATCTTCCAAGACCCTAACTGGCAAAGCAGAGAAACTAAATAAATAGGTACATTGGGATCCCTATCTTTTGTCAAACAACACATCATACTCCCATCATCATCCATCTCATTCTCCAATTTGCAAGCTGCTCTGGCTCAGTGATGTTGATCTCAGTCAAGTTGGATCCGGCTGCAAAGGAATTATAGAGATTGCCCAGGGGTGTCAGTGTGCCATTCGGATGCACCAGGCCGGCATCTCCATTCCTGGCATGGTAAAGGGGGAAGTCTTCGTGTTTGAGGGCAGAAGTGAAGGGCAGCCTTTGGCTTCACTGAGCGCTTCTGAACTCCAGTCCCTTGAACACCGGAGCGGCTTTGCAAGCGAGGCACTCACCATCAACCTTGGCTCACTCGGAGACAACGAGCAACATGCCAAAACGGCCACCTGAGCCCTGCCGTGAGATTCGTTTGCCCCTATTGAGCCCTTCACAGCTTGTGACCCTCAAAGGGAACCCCTTCAGCAAGCTCAATCAAAGGCAGCGAAGGCACGATCGGATGTGCCCACTCATCCTTAAAGTAGCTGAACCATGCGTACCTCAGAAGGCATATGGCCGTGCCATGTCCAGTCGTCTTCAGGGATGTATAGACCCCCAGTAGCTGGCATAGCTGCTTGAGCTGTTTAGCTGGAGGCAATGGCTTGTGGCTGACACTGGCGGGTTCTCGCTCAATCTCAGTCTGCCTCGGGGTGCCTCTCAGCCTTTGGGAGCCCAACTTGGCCACGTCCTCATCAGCCTCCAGAAGAGGTATTGCCTGCACGCCACTACGAGAGATATCAATGTGCTAAGCCCCTACGTCGGTGGGGCTGCGTGCTAACTCCACTGAAACTGTATCGAAAAAGATCATTGAATGACCATGTTGTTGAAAAACACTGAGGAAAAAAGGTCCCCGGAAGCATCTTCAAATCATGACCATGAAGGAAGCTGAAGACAGGAATGAGCAAAGCCATCAGACACCTGCTGGAAGACAACTTGAATAGCAGAATAGCACGACACTCCCACTAGAGCCAGAGCTCTCATAGGAACTTACAGCAACACCGTCTATAACAATAATGTGGCTGGAAGGACGGCTGGATGAACACAGTGAATTCGCTGCTGTGCCTCCCTCATGTATGCCATCTGGCCCTGGCACAGGCTTCGTACGGTTCTTAGCGGCCCCCCCAGAAGCTTTACAAGGGAGGCTAGAGGTACGCCTTAATAACTTAAGGAAGTGGAGCGGCGCCGAGGTAAGCATGTCTATGATACATTGTCTTCAATGTGTTCTTCTGGACTGAAGAGCCGGGGGCGGAACCTCGCTTTTGCAATGTCAGATCATGCTTGACGTTGACCAAGAATCAAGAATATCAAAGACAGGATTGCTCCGATTGAAACAACATGGAAGAAAGTAATGAGATCTCATCTGACCCACCCCATCCCACCGCAACTAGGCAAGCCTCTGCGGAGAGGCGTTCGGGTGACGCAGGGTCAGAACAGGCAATCTCTGTGATCCACATTGGCTTTCCTTGGGGACAGCGGCCCGGTCTCAAAGTCATAGGACATCACAGAGTCTCTGTTTGCATTAAGAGACTGATGATGAATGCACATGAATGGAACATAGTTCCCTCTTAAGGGTGATTCTTTCCTCTGAGTTGTTGTAACATTGTCTCCTGTGGCGTGACAAAACAGACTCAGGAAAAGTGCATGCAACCAAGGCTGATCCAAGTGGCCAAAAATACGGTAGCGGTCAAGGTGATACTTCAGGCCAGCAGCGTAGCATGTAAAAACATGGATGCCAATGGCATCCACCTGACAGAAGCATAGCACCCACTCGTCTACGGATCCGGGTTTCCTCTGCTGGTGGACTGCCCAAAATGATCTCCAACTTGTGAGGCTATCCATTAATCCTGTCCCGTCAGGCAGGTTCTATCCCTTGTTTGTGGTGGGTGTTGAACATGTTTGAACTGTCAACTCCATGGAGGCCTTGCAGCCCTCGCAGTGTGCAAAGAATTGCTGAAGCCAGTCAATGGGATCCTTAGCATAGCTGCTGGCTACACATGCTCCACAGTAGAAAAAGGAAAGCAAACCATGATAACTCTACGTGGCTTTCATATCATGTAATGTATTCTCATGTATTGTCGTGTGTCTTTATGTGCGTTGCATAAAGGAACTCTTCCATACTTGTGCCACTTGTGGCTGTAAGTATCGTCCTACTACGCACAAACAAAACCTGCAAAGGCAAGCCAAACTCTTCTCGTGCCCTGCTCCTCAGTCAAGAATCCATCGACCAATGGTAGTTCATGGAGGGCGAAACCTGAGTCTTGACAGTGCCATATAAAAAACCATCCCCTCTACGGAATTACGGATACCTTCCTGGGATATGCCGCTGAGCTCCTGACGATGGTCGAAATGCCATAGTCAGCCGCCAATTGTTCAACATCCTTCCAGTGCTCAGCGGCCTGCAGTGCTTAGCACCAGCAACACACGGATCGCTTGACCCAAGACGCATCTCAGCAGGCTAAGGCCACCACAGCAGATGGGTCAAGATCAGCCCTAAGGGATGTACCGAGGTCGTCTCGAAGTCAACGGTGAAAGTTGCACGCTAAAACACATTGAAACGAAAGGCGCTGGTGATTTCTTCCCAGGCGCTGGTTCGGGAAGTTCGGCTCATTGAATCCCAGCAAGGCCGAGCTCGAGCTCGGAAGGCCGCTGGCCTGGCCGAGGCAGCACGTAGCAAACTGTTGCAAAATGGAGCGGGATGTAGACCAGACACCTGGGCTGCAAATACCAAGGGCCTTACGATCCATTGACAGTAGCCGAGGATTCATTTGCATGTTTCTTGTCCCTCCGATGGTCCAAGCATGTCCAAGTTCACACTCCCAAGGCCACTTGACATATTCTGCAAACATGCTTGCATAAAAGTCCCGCCAGCCACAAGCCATGGATGTCTTGTTCCTGTAATCTTCCACCCACCTCGGCCAAAGGAATGGTGCCTGACGTGTGCTGACAATGAGGCCATCCATGCAACACATCATGATACTACAAAGCTCTTCAATCTTGTAGGAACCAAATGACTAGTGCGTGGGGAGCCGGAGCTTCCTTGAGTCCAGTAGTTAATTAGTAGCGGCTAGCCCTTACTTGATTAAGTATGTGCCTACTAAGTGGGCTTTACAAAGAAAAGGCAAAAAGGTGTCAAAGCACTGAAGCACAAGTTCTTCGGAATCCTGCGCCTGCGCCCCAAATCATTGGCACGAAGTCAACTCCAGCCATCTTCCACACAGACAGGTCAGGTCCATCTGCCAGGCCGATTCGAAAGGAGCTTTGATCGATTGCAACGTTCTTCAACTTTGCAGCTTCGTATCTACACCCGGGGACGAACTCCTAGACTCATATGTGGAACTTCGTATCCATTCTGTTAGGCAATTGGTTCAACGGAGCCCCGACGGGTCCCTTGCCATCTGCGAATTCACCCCAATCAAACAGCTTTCTGGCTTTGCTTCTAGTAGCGTCCTTGTTCCTGGATCGGATTGTGCCTGTGATGTTGTGCTCCCAAGTTGCTCCCCAAGAAATAATCTGTGAAAGGCCAGACAGCGCCTCCTGCGAGCCGTCCATGCTGAATGGGATTTGTGATTCATTTGTGTTCACTCCATAAGATTGACATTGATTTACGATGATTTATGCATCTATATATATATATATGCTATATATTTACATATACGGTGGAAAAGTCCGTCAATATGATCGAACTTTGTCTGCGTATCGCTTTCCTCACACCATTCCTTTTACACATTGCATGCGGTCCGCTGTGAGGAGGCTGTTCTCAATGGCGATTCCACGCCTTGTAGGAGCAAGGACGCTACTAGACTAGCTGGAGGCCATCGCAAGTAGGTTGGAGGCCATCGCTACTAGGAGCAAGGACGCTACTAGTAGCTCCTGTGTTCAAAGCACTTCCAATCCAGGAGGCTACAAAAGCCACCATCCACCATGCACCAACCAATGATCACCATTCTTCAAACACAAAAATCCATGCAAATCCTACTTTCACGAGCGCCGCCCCAATCCAATCTACAGCAATAATTTCCCTTCAGTCCTCACCCTCCATGTTGGCCCATGTCGCTAAGATCCTGGCTTTGAAGACCTCTCGGTCTCCCCGTCTTGTCTATACTTCTCCCAGGGCCAACAGTCAGCACATTTCAGCTCTTCAAGCGCTGCCTAAGTGCAGGTAGAACACGCACTAAAAAAAGGTGCTGAAACATTCTAAAAACTAAGCAAGTGAGCAGGATTACAGCATATCATCTTGCAATGTCGTCTTACAATATCTTACAACACAAACATTTGCACTCCACTTCTTCAAGTTGGTCGAAGGTAGCGTTCAACTTCTGGGCCCGGTACCTGCACACGTGCCTCCTGCTCTGTCAGGAGCCCTCCCTGAGGAGTCTGCAAGAAAACAATCCTCGGTGACATGGATATGATGCGGATGAAATATCTGGCGTCAGTCGTTATGTAATTATTTGATATTATTTGACCCTCTGCAGGCCCAAACAGCAGGCAATCAACTGCTTCCCATATTTCCCATGCTATTATTTTGGAGTTGGGCGAGATGTCCCACAGGTCATTTGCCAATTGCAGCACTCACGCAGTTCATGCAAGATGCCGTTCGCCGCAGGTAAAGGTTTCGCCCACAAAGTTGCCCTCAACAAACCATACCTCATCTCTTTTGCTCATGATCCGTGTTCACAGAAGCCTGCTCTGCTCATTGACCACTTTGATGCTAGTACCAGGACTCTCAGCTGGATTCAGCTAGATAATCGCTCAAGCACAATCAGTAAATCAAAAGGATGTTTGCACAGGCAACAAACATGAGTAGACCAAGGGGCTGCGGCAAAGAGGTGAGAAACAAACAAATTTGAGGTACTCCAGGCACTCTGTGTAAACTCTCCATATGATACTAATGGGTGACAGTAGAGTCCTGAAACAGGTCCCCCGCTTTCTTTCGAGCTTACACCCCAAAAAGGACTGGCCTCTTCGCAGCTTCCCGCCACTGCGGTTCGGACGCAGGCGAGCGCCTGGGCCAAGGCCATGATGAGAGGCACTGGATCCCGAACCCGTGGAAGGTATATACTTCGACTCGATCTTTCGTGGAACATATGTTGCAGGACCGTTGTCGGGGAGAAAAAACAGTGAAGGGCCCTTTCTTGTGGCCACCATGGCGGTCAGCTGTTCTGAGCTTGGCACGACAAGAGTTACGGCGAGGGTAAGGAAACGCGGCCTGCTCGCGACAGCAACAATGCAAAGAGTAAACGGAGAGTGCAAATATGGCAATCAAGTTGTATCAACGTACCGCTTTTTCAGGAATACACAGTTGGCCGAGAGATTCATATGCCCACTTAGACGATACGATCCAGCGGAGTTGGGCAGCGCTCTCTCAATTCCAAATCGCAAGTCAATATCGATGGGATATTGAACGTCATGGCTTCGTAACTTTAGAGCCAAATGATTTCAGGAAGACGCTGCTGGCGCCTTGACATCAATCCTTGGTCTGCAATATTCCTCGGTGGGTGCGCACGCTCTTCTGCCAAAAGGCATGCAAACTCACAACTCTGTTGGCTTCAGCCATGAAATTTGGGCGACAGTTGGCTTGACTCCAGCATACTCCAACGATCTGAATTGCAAATGATTTCAAAATGAGGTTGGAGGCCATCGCTATTGGGTCGATTCAATTTGTCAATGTCATCAATCTCGCAGTTTCGGGCACCCCACGAAGCGGGCGAGTTTTGGCACCGAGACGGGTGCTCGATACCCCGCCGTCGCTCAGCAGGTGCTTCTGAGCAAAACTTCAGGCGGTAAGACCGAGATCGTCGCAGTCAGTCTGCCATCCCATCAACAACTCATGTCATAATATACATACACACACATATATATATATATACACGGTATTTGTGTGTGATTCATATAGGTTCAGAATATGTCATGTTTCATGACGCTGGTCAGTCACTGGTCAGCTGTCGTTAGAATCTGCACAACCGACTGCGGAGGGACAGGAGACGATGATATCATACATCATCATACCCTCTTGTGTTGCAAAGTACATGTGCGACCCATCACCGTCCAGAATGAACTCTGCCCAGGGTGTTTCAGACTCTTTTGCATTTACCAGTCATTGCAGGAAAGGGCTGTCCCTCTCCAAATTGTATGGGCATTCTGGCGCCAGTTTGGACAACCATGCTGTCAGCCCACCGTCGACATGCAACCCATCAGACCTCAGTGACCAATCACCATGTGGTTGTGGACGATGACATAGTGCTGAGAACACGTTCACGATCCCAAGCAGCAATCTTAAAAGCAATGGAAACGTACAACACGCGGCATTACGAATGACTGCAGGCTGATTCACAAAAGGCAACCTTATCACACCCATAATATGAAAGAATACATGCTGCAGGAGGTCCATGTTGAATTCGTTCTAGGCATCATCCGGGGTCACCCACCTGTGAAGCACCTCAGAAAATGGAGCACCTCAGAGAATGCGCATTCCAGGGCCAGCTTTTATGAGCCCTTGAAAACCAACAAATGTCGCTGTGCGCCGCTTGATATGAGATAGTAAGGCAGTGGCCTTCCATCTTAGTATGGCCAGGAACCCCTAGTGGCGTCCTTGCTCCTAGTAGCTCTGTTTCTTCAGCTGTGACCATCGTCTCTAGGAGCGCTGCTGTCCCTTGCCCTCGATCTGCCAAAGTTGCTCCCAGAGTTCAGCTGTGGCCTCAGAGTGCCAGAGGGCGGCCAACGCTGAAATCAGCAGAACATGGCAGGACATCGCAGGCTATCGTCTGCCTAACAAACCTCTCAGATGTGCAACCCCACAGAAACATAGGAAGCGATAAACCATGACATGAGATTGAACAAAACTACAGCATTCCCAATGAAGACATAAAACACGGCAGCCACCCCCACGTGTTGCAAATCAAAAACATTATTTGGATTTATTTGGCAATTGTGGTGGAGAAATCAGCGCTGCGAACGTATTTTGGAGGCTACCTACCTTCACTTCTTCTGGTCAGCCCTGTATCCACTGCCACGTATTTTTGGACGCTTGCAACTTCTGAGATAATATACCTCCTGAGTTTAAGGAGTGTGTCTCTACATCGAAGCTTTCAGGCTGAACTTGTGAAGCCTGATGAAGCATCAAACTTCAATGGTAGATGGGGGGTGGCACAGCGTGTCTATTTTCGACAGCACTGTCCTTGACAAGAGCTACTGAGTGCTGGTCACAAGTGTAGCTGACCTCACTGGTCACAAGTCTTCCTCCTCATCCTCATCATCTCCTCCAGGAGGCACCTCCTCACAGAAGAGAAACATTCTCATGAACCACTCTTTGTGATTGCCAATTATGGACATCCTTGAACAGGCAGCGGTCAATCACGCTGCGAGGGAAACTGAGGCAAGAGAGGGAACATGTTGGTTGAGAAGTCCTGTGTTTGAAACTCGCCCGTCTGTTTAGCCTGTGGGGTTCGCTAGCCCTTCAGCCGACCCACGAACCTGCGCTGAGCACAAACGGGCTTGTCGCACACAAAGCCAGTGGTCCGTGATGGCACCAAAGATCCGAGCCTCATCGATACACCCAGCCCAGTGCATTTCCAGCGTTTTCTCATGTTTTCTCCAAACTGATGTCCTAAAAGAAGAAAAAGATTAACAAAGGAAGGTAGAGGCACTGTTATGTATATTACAAAGTAGTTCACTTCTACTCATTTCCCAGCCCTCCCAGCCCTCCACCCTGGGATGTTCTTTTCCTCAAGGTAGCGTGATCTGACTGCTCGTTCTTGGTCATCCTTCTCCCCAAGAGAAGTAGACTAGCAGCCTGCGCCACTTCCAACCTCCTCTGACTCTGTCGCGCAAGGCTTCTATCTGTTCTCCAACCTTTCTTCTTATTTGAACTGTCCTTCCACACGACTGGAATCATCTATGGTCCTTGCAACAGCACAACTTCTCTGTCTATCTGTTGCCTGTGCAGACCTCTCCGTCAAACTCGCGTTCGACTCTCTTCTGTCCCCCTCTTTGGGACATGTTTAACCCCTTCTCGAGGGTGACCTCGTCTTTTCTAGGAAGGTCATTCCCCTCCCATCGTTTTCTTCCTTTACAATCTCCGTGCCTGGTCAACCGTTGACTCACACTTCCAGCCCAAGACGATGCGGTTCTCCTTGTCGACGGACTCCCTCGTCAATTGCGAGCATCCTCGGCGATGAATTCCGTATCTGCCCATGCCTTGTCGGGTGTGGCCTCCCTCATCGTTGACGTTTCGCATATCCCTATGTGGATCTTCTCGGTGACGACGCTTTTCGTCCCCTATCCCAATGCGAACCGTCCTGATGGTGACGATCTCCGTCAGAAGATGGTGGGCTTACTTAGTTCTTGACGAAGACAATCTTTGTCGTCTGATGCGGTCCTCTCCGGAGCTGGTATCCTGCGTCCGCCTGCGTCCTATCGGACGTGGTTTTTTTCCCCGTTGACGTATCGCACTCTCAACTTCTCAACGTGCACCTACTCGATGATGAAGAGCTTCGTCCTTAGTCGAGACAAGGCGGGACAACGTACTCCGTCCTACGTTTCTTATCTCGGTTTCATTAGCTATGTCTCGGCTGACTCTCCTCGAGCAGTACCGCGTACCGGGTTGAGGGTTGGCCACTTCTGTCCAAGTCCTCTCAGCTCTGTCTGGCGTTGAGCCACTCGACATGGACGGGCGGTGCCGCAGACACTAAACGGCTCCTTCATCGTGGCACCCCTCCGATCTTTCTCGAAATCGCAACCGTCGAACTGTTATGGGCTGCTCTCCAAAGGTCTTGAGCAGTCTGGTTGAGCAGCGGGTTGACAGGCCTTGACCCTCCGCCCCTGTTCCTCTCAGCGCCGCTCCAAACCACTGGTCCTAAGCAGCCTCCCGAACCTTGGGCAGCTCGATCTAACAGCGGGTCGACTGGCCTTCCGGCCATACTTCATCCCCCCTGCCTCAGCAGGCCTGAGCTCCTCCAACTGAGCTACTGATCTAACTTCAGCACAGCCATCCTGCGCTCTTTCGACTCTGCAGATTCGAGCTCTTTCGACTTGCCGCTGATCTACTGTAGCACAAACATGATCTGTGCTCAGTGTTGGTTGAGTAACAAGCTCAACCTTGAACCTTGAATCTCCCCTCTGCTCCCTACGCATTGGTCTCACGTTCTCGGACTCCCTAACTGAGCAACAAGTCGAACGTTAACCCAGGTCCTCAGTTCTTGGACTCCCTGACTGAGCCACCCGTCGAACCTTAAGCCGTGGCTCCAAATCCTATTCTCCAACTCTCTGTACCCCATGTAGCTGCCTTGGCACACCATGATATGTGCCCAGTTCTGTTGGGCAGCAGGTCGAACCTTGACTTATGATCTGTGCCCGCTGTAGCTGCCGCATGTTCTCGAACTCCCTAATTGAGCAGCCGGTCCAACCCTTGTACCATGCACTATGTCCCACCTGCAGCTTGACGAACCTTGCACTCTGGGCTGTGTCCCTTCTGCCGCTTGTCATAGAGGCTGCCCCTCAAGTTCTCGAACTCCCTACACGAGCAGCGGGTTGGCCTTGTTGTCGCAGCCGTACACACTTTTGAGCTCCCGCTCCCTCGAGCCTTGCCGAGCCCTTACCTGTGTCTACGTGCATCTTGTTCTCCTCCTCCCGAATTCCTAGCTCTACCCTGATCGCCATTTGCCTCTCCAATTGGCTCTCAGCCAATAGCCGGTGCGGCGGCACGCCATGCCAGGGGCTGTTCGCGGCACCGGGTGGGCCGATCATGAAGTCTGCTCCCAGCTGGCCCAGCACCCGCTTAACGGGCTTGTTTTCCAAGGACTGGGGCTTCTCGCCCCCATCCTCCGCCCGGGCCAGCCAGCTAACTTCACTGTCGTACCTGCCTGGCAGGTGAAGCACCTCGAATCGCGGGACCTCGAGCAGCTCAAGTAAGTTGTAGCGACAGCTCGGCCACGACGTAGTGCAGGGACACGGATCCGGCGCAAAGCTGGTGAGCCATTCCCAAGGCGACCACACTGTCCGCCTTGATAGCAATGGCGTGTCCTCGAAGCCGATGCTGCCACAACTTGACTGCCCTCAGCATGCAGTATGCTTCACGCACTGCTCTGTTGGAGGGGTGATTTGACTGCAGCTGCAGGAGCTGCTCCTCTAACGGGGTGAAGGGAGCTTCAAAGCCCTCGGCGACTCGGCGATCGTTAGCTCCAACGTTGGAGGATCTACCTGGAACAGGATCCCCCCCATCCCCGTTGCCGACGCTGCAGTTGCAAGTCCCCGCAGGTCGTTCCAATGCAACGGAACTGTCTGCCGCACCAGCTTGCCTGCGGCGATTTGGAGGGCTTTGGCTATCCAGGGAAGGGCAGTGCCAAGACGAACACTGGCAACCATTCAGGGCCCCGCTTCGGCCCCCTTTAGCCCTTTTCTGCGCGTGGACTGTCTCATCTGGTTGCTCCGTTTCGTCCTGTTTCGCGTCTCCCACCACTGCGTAGTGCGTAGAAGACGGACGCCACCCCCTGCAGCCGGGAGATTGGACACCATCTGCTGTGAGACGCCCATTTCGATCGCCTCCGTCTTGCTCGCTCTCAGCGTAATACCGACCAGGTTATGCTAGATCCTCTGCTCTCAGCTCTTCCGTTACCACGGGGAGATGGCCTGCTAGATCCCTGATTTCGATCGTCACGAACTCTATATAGCTCCAGGCGCTCAGGGGATCCAGTAATCGACTGACCCCCATCCCATGGCAGCCTTCCTGAGGGATCGAATCACATCGACCCCCTTGGGAAGAACCACGCGCTCCTGCACCTGTGCTCGAAGGTTGCCTCCGGCGTCCTCGACATCAAGCGTCAAGGCTTGGAGCTTCCTGCCGTCTGGGCGATCCTTCTCGATGAGGCCCACCCGCGACACCGTAGTTACCCCAAACTCTCGCTCTGCCTCTTCCCACGGCAACTTCTGGCACTTCCCCTCTTCTCCAACCCTACGCAGTTCTTGCTCAATCACCGGCCGGTACTTCTCCTCCGTCAAGAAGTTCCGCCAGTGCTTCACAACTTCCAATTCCAGCTCAGGGTCTTCGGAATCCATGTCCTCCTCGTCGACCGTTGGAAACACTCCGTTCGACATGGGGATCTGCGTCGCCATACCCAGGGGCGCGCCATCAATTATAAACCACGCCACACTGTCATCTGGGTCTCTCGTCGCTTTCTGCCACGTCAACATATAGTTCCCCCCATCCCCTCTGCACCTCGAACACGGACTCCCCCTTGTTCAACACCTGATAGCGCCACCACTCCAGGTTTAGCGTCCGCTTCCAACTTGACACCACCAACTTCGCGATCTTCTCGCAGAGGGCTTTCGGATACCTTTCCGAAAGGTCCATCTTCGCCAGCTCTGCGGGTGATTGGTGCCTGACCCAGTTCGGACACTTACACACCCTCGACAAAGTATCCAAACCTTCTAGGTGCCCTGCCCATTTGTTGGACCTCTTCGGGACTCGGACTCCGCAAGTCCACTCAACGGACTCGCAGACACCTGGTCCCTCCAGCAACCCCACGGCGAGTATGCTCCCAAGTCCCTTCAGGGACTCGAGACTTCCTCGCCCCAGGCAAGCTCATCTTCCCAAGCTCGCCCTGACTCTACTCTTCTGGCTTGCCTCAGCCTTCCTCGGGACTCGGACTCCGCAAGTCCACTCAACGGACTCGCAAACACATGGTCCCTCCGGCAACCGTCCATCGTCGAGACCCACGTCCACAAGCCCACGCAGGGGGGGCTCGCGGTTCCTCCGAGGCCTCTCCGGACCGCGCCTACCTCACCTGACCTGAACTACTCCGCTTCGAGTGTCCTCATGTTCGACACTATCTCCATCTCGATGAACTGTATCTCGAAGCTGAAGGCTTCATCTCTCCGGACCAAGCCCGCATTCTCTGACCTAAGCTAATTCGCCTAGAGTGTCCTTTCCCTGCCTGTTCCCGTCCTGCGTCATCACTACCTTTGACTCCGCGGGCCTCAAGCATGTTCGACACGATCTCCACCTCGATGATCTGTATCTCGAGGTGACGGCTTCATCTCCTTATCCTCCTCCGCCTTGCACCTCCGCCAACTCTGTCTCCCGTGCTTTCCAATCAGGGTCCAAATCTCCTTCTCGAGCCTTCAATTCAACTCGACCTCTCGATCGTGGCCTCGACTGGTTCTCAAGTTCATGCGCTACTTTGTAACTCTCGAGCGGCCAAGGTCCTCGAACTTTCCCTTCGCCTCCTCGAACGTGGTCTCAAGCTAATTCCAGGCTCCTCTTCAAGAAACTTCCGGGGCCTCGGACTCTCTGAACCTCATAGTTTACGAACTGACCTCGGGCTTTATCCACGGCCGCCAGCACCAGTCCCACATGCGGTCTACCGCGCGGCCATGACACTGCCCCCAAATCAAAAAGAAATATTAAAACAAGGTGGAGGAGGGTGTGCTTGAGCCAAAATGGCACAACACCCACCTCCACCCAAGTAAGCTCCTACTGTGTATGGTGTATGAATACACTCAATCTCTCTCTCTCTCTCTTTGTTCTTCTTTCTGTGGGAGTGCTTTCCTCAAACCATGAGCATGGGCTGCCCTCGCCTTGTGTGCCTCAGCTTTGTCGACGACAGCTGATCGGAAGGCCCTCACTGGCCAAAGCAAGCTTATGAAAAAATAACTGTTGACACCTTTGGGAGTTCGTCTGCTGATGATCAACTGTTCACAAGGACCATCACAAACCCATGGACCCATGGAAAGAAAAACAAAACAATCCTGGAGGGAATCCAAAAATATGCAGGTCTATGCCGGAGTCTACGCCTTGTCAGCTTCAAGCACATCGAAGAAACTGCCTCCTTTGAGGAATCACTCGTCCCCAAGAGTTGAAAGTGTTCGCTCCTCGAGGTGACGCATCTGCGAATGTCACTGAAGCTCGTCTGTAACTGTTTAAGTATGAAAAAGGGATGAAGAGGGAAAGTTGTGTAGGTATACGTGTGTATATATATATATCATGTATATATTTGTATTATTATATGTGGACCACTCTGGTCACCTGGCCAAAACGGCGGCCTGTGTGTTTACTGTCAAAAAGAACGGAGGCGCATGGGCATGCGGAAGAGCTTCGTAAGTGCGGTTCTTTTGTCACCACGAACGTCCGAAAAGTCATGGTAGCCCAGCTTCCTCAGTTTCACTGTCACGAACAAACAGTGCACGTCACAAACCCTTTAAACAAAAACAAAAAACACACAATCTAGCAAGCACGCGTACCGTGCACTGGCATAGCAATGACCACACACCCTGTACCAGGGTATGAATCCTGCCCGCCCCGACGCTCTGGGACAGCTCACTGCCAAGTTTCATGTGCCCCAACTTGGCATCCAAGCGGACCAACTGTGTGGGGAACCGCTGAGCAGCACAAATGCCCTCATCGAAGGCCTGAGCACGGAGTTCAATTCCAACAGCTTATGATCTACTGTATAGACTATAGAATCTATGACATCCTATGAAGGCACCGCCGCAAGGTCCCAACAATCGGTTGGGTTTCATGCTGAGCCCAGTGGAGAACATCTCCCAGCACTGCCCAGTCCATTCCAGCTTTTGGATGTCCAGGCAGTCTCGGAGACAAACATTGGCACCAGACCACTCTCTCCAAAGCAAACAAACCCCAACACCATCGCCTCTTCAGTGAGGCGCCGCCTGTCCTTCGCCTTGACACGCCTGGCCCAAGTGAGACAAACATTCCAAGAGGACGTTGCTTGGTACAGAACTTCCTGACCTTGGCATCTTCTCCACCAAGCCACTCCGCAGGGCTTTGGCAGTCCAAAGGCACGCACTGCACGAGAGGGCATTTGCTTCAGGCAAAATTTCCTCAAATATGCAACTGTCACAGGACTGGGTATGAGTGGGCAGGCCCCCCCAAAAAAAAACATGGAGAAAAAGTGTTTCGCCGCCACCCTGTGTGAAAGGCAAAGTGCCCCTCAAACTCAACATTGCCCAGTCAAGGCACGAGTAGTTATTTTGGTGCCGAGCCGAATGACCACAAAGGGCAAAACACTTGCTTTCTTGGTTTGCTCAGCGAAGTCACATCAGCTAGTAGCCCAGGCAGTGCTATGGCCACGAGCATGTAAAGCATCGCCAAATTGATGACAAATGAACAACGGCGAAATGGCATGCAAGCTTTAATGCTAGAGGCCATGGGACTTACTATGAGAGCGCAAACTGTGGGATAACATCCTCCGCTGGTCTCCGTGCAGGGAGCTTTGCTTATCTTTGGCTCCTTTCGGTTCAAAGCGTACACAAGCAAAGCGTTGCAAAGCTTCCAAACGCTTCAATACATCTGTATATTGGTGCTGTCCATGATGAGCTTGCGCAGCTTCTGCTTGAATGTGACCCAGTCTTTGCGGAACCCTCTTTATCTTCTTGCAGGTTTGTCGAGTCCAAGGACTTTATATATATATAATGATTGGTTATAAAAAAATATCGGTTTGATTTAAAGTGGTGGGCGCATGCTACCCAACCATCGGGAAAAATACACTCTGGACTCTGGACTATTCTAGTGTTTCATGTTGACATTGTATAGTGAACATGTGACAGTGCATAAGGGCCCGCTGCAGAATGAAGCTTGAAAAGTGAGCGTGGGCGTACGTGGGAGTTAGGGCAACTTGAGTGAAGCGTGTGCCAGAACCTCTCCATCGATCTCTTAGAAGCCTCTAGGAAGCAGTGAAATCATGGCTAGTGTAGATGTTCACGTAAACACATCAAACTTTCAGCACCTTTTCAAGCAAGTCGGGTCATCCGTCAGTCGGCTTGTCGGCCTGTTGTCGCCAGTTGCCACGGCTACCCTCGGAAAACTGGAAGCGGTGAAGCGCACGCCTCCCATCTCACTTTGCCAAAGGCTGGGAGCCCCGAGAGGGTCGACTCTGAGAGCTGACTCTGCGGTGCTTCTTGGCTCGAGGCTTGGCTTCAAAGGTGAGCGAAAGGATTCGTCTGTGGGATTCTGTGGGCAGTCTTAGAATCATGCTCTCGCTGGGGCATGCGCTGACTGTCAACTGAGGTACCAAATGCAAAAGAATAAGTGGTAAGAATGTCTATATAAGTATATACATACTGTATGCGTTGTCTATTCCCATGTTATACATCATCGACAAACAATACCAGGTGGGAGTCCATCAGGCCAGCCGCGCCAATCACTATGCACATCTTATTGAGTGAGTGGAGTTGACTCAAGGTCCTCAGTCTCTCCGAGAGCCAGGAGTGGATCTTCATCATCCTGGGCTCGCTGAATCTTGCTGACATGCACTCAACTCGCAAAAAAGGAAAGTGTGCAGCAAGTTGTGATCGGAGTTGGCTGTTGATGAAACTTGGCGCCACCTGTGCAGAGCCAACAAGAACAACATCGGCTCCCAAGGTCCAAAACCGTTTTATGTCCAAACCCTTGACTTGGCTGGGGTTCCGGAGCGCTCTCGGTGACTGAAGCTCGTTTGCCCTGCATGGCATGGAATGCGGCTCAAGCTGCTAGAAAGGTCAAATCATTGCAACAGGTTGATGAAAAGGCACTGATGGATCACAATGGACCTCTCAACCGACCGGGTTTGAACCACCAAGTACGTGCAAGTACGTGAAGAATGGCAAGCACTATGCGAGTTGAAGTTTGGGCGCTCAGCCAGGCCTCTGGATCTTTGAAGGAATAAAAGCGGGAGATGCTCTTGAGATCCACACCTGAGCCGCCAAGGCATGCTGGCGAGATGCCCCTAGGCTTAGTGGGGGAGCAACGTCAAAGGCCTGTGCCTTCCTGTCCTGCATCACCAAGCGCCCCCTTGTTGAATCTCCATTGACAAAAACAAAGTTTAGATCCTTGGAGGGGGTGAAGCCTTTTCACTGCACAAGCCCAACAAAAATAGTGGGAGAGCTAGCGGCCCTGCAATTAAGCTGCACGGGTGACTAACCTGGAGGGCAGTGGCTCTTGCAGGTCAAGGGTCGCTCTCTGTCAGCTTCTTCCAGTGCTTGTGAAAGCGCAGGGGGAGGGCATCCAGTCTCGGTACACTGCGAATTGCCGCCCTGATCCTTGGTGCGATTTTTGGTTTGAGGGCACCATACCATGCATGAGGATGTGGAAGCCTGTCCTGCCCACTGCAAACAAACAACTCCAAACTTATTCCATCTTCCCTCATGAACAGCCCAAAACACTGAAAACCCATCGCAACCACCCTTCAATGGTCGAGGGCACCGCGATGAGCCCCAGAAAGCGTCGCACGTCGCTGGGCTTCTCCAGGCGAAACCTGCAGGATTTCGCACGATGTCAAAACAATTCTAGGCTGAATCGTGACGGTCTTCATGTGCAGATAAAGGTATAGATATAGATTTAAGATATAGATTTAAGATAAATATATTGTATAGGTATAAACAAAGATATTAGACAATATTTGATATATATATATTATATGTATGGACATAGATCTAGACATAGATAGACATAGACATAGACATAGACAGACAGAGAGACAGAAACAGACAGACCGATAGATAGATAGATAGATAGATGTGTCCAAACGTGCGTCTATGTGTGTCTAAAAATCCATTGCCTGATCGTGGGATTCACGGAACATGAAATGCTCTATACTCTATGCACCGAAAGATGACAGCATGTGCTTGATATTGCAAAAAGCTGATGTGGGGGATCCTCGAACAGGACCCAACTAACGCGCTGTGTGATCGAAAATGATTGAAGAAACGGAGAGCCCGCCTGGCCGCTGTGTCGCCAGGGCCGACCTTTACAGTCAGGGCATCCTTGGGAGCTTCCAAGAACATCGACCTCAGTGGCCCAAAGCCGAAGACAAGAGGTGATTCGAGGTGAATTGTGAATGGTCTTCATGATGTCTTCATGTCTCTTCCCAGTGATTCACAGTCTGACATGCCATTGTTATCTGCTAGCACAAATATGCCGCTCAAATAAGACTGGAAATGAATGCTGCTATACTAGCCTTTGACTGGGTCTTATGAACGCTTCAATCGAATCCACCTGAAGTACACTGAGTTGGTTGATTGCCTTGGCAGTTTTAACTCGAATGTATTTTTGAGTGTGCTAAGTGCTACGAAATGCTACGAATACAAATATAAGTCATGAGGGCTCTGAGCACTGGAATCGATACTAAGTGGAGAACTCGTCAGTACGATCGTCCCCACAAATCAGGATCTCCACGAATGGCTTTGCGACACTGCTTTGCCTCTGCTGATCCGACCAACCGACTGGGTGGGATTCCGCTGACTTTCTCACAGCAAAATTGAATCGACCAAAATTTCATCTGTATACTTGTATATGTATATATGTATATCTGTGTGATTGTGTGTGTGCACTGTACTACAGTTAATTGATGTTAATTGTATCTCTGCCGAATGTCTGAGGACTTCAAAAATAAATAATGCCATAATTAGAAAGCCGGTTTGCAGCACGAGGTGCTGCTGGAGCGCATTGCCAACCACAACACCCTTCCTCACCGCCAAGGATGCCACTTCCACAATCTTGTTTCCCTGGCTGATTTGACATGGCAAATTTCCGAGTGAAAGCGCCAGCCTTAGCTTCGGTCAATTGCTTAGCTGCCCCAGGAATCCCACAATCCCACAGAACTCAATATGCAGCTTCCAACACAGAGCAAAATGACTCTCACACTTGCCAGTCCCCCACTCCCGCCCCACCCATCTATGTCGTGTGGGAAGCATCATGACACCCGTGCTCCGTGTCTCCCACGTTTCTCATTGCTTGCTCAAAACCTTCATTGCCGCCTCGTTCGTCCAAGTAGCTGATGCATGAGCTCTTTGGCTTTGAACTGACCATACTCCTCGACCAGACTCTCGAAGAACCGAGCAGGAAGAGGGGAAATGACACTGGAGATCCATGCGACAGGCCACAACGGCAGTTCTTTCGTGCTGACCGCGGCGCGCGCGGTTGGATGGGCGTGGTTGCTTTGCGAGCTCGCACCCATTGATAAGGGTTAAAATGAACATATGGCCAATCAGGCAAAGTACTTCGATCCACGGAAAGGATGTCAGGCCAATCACACAAGTACTTCGATCCACAATGGGCCTGTTGAATTTCTGTAGCTACACTGTACACACGAAAGGCGCTTCACTTCAGTGTGACTGTACTCAAGGCCTTTGCCCAGTATGACATGAACCTACAATGAGAATAGTAATCAAAAGGGTTGAAACGCGTGCAATACCTTTTAATTTCAGAGTTCTGCACATTGCTATACTGCAGATCTAGACATGAAAGCCACCAAAGTCACTCTTGGACCTCTTCATAGTGGGGTACTCAGAAATCTCATCAAGCTCCACAAATGTCTTTCGCACCACGGTCTTAACGTCCTCCCCTTGATCGCTGGTGGAACAAGGACATCTTGCAATCGTTGCAATTAGGACTGGACGAGCATCTTCCACCAAACTGGGTGCTGTAGTTCCCCCGTTTGCATGGCGATAGGCCGCCTTTTGTATGCTAAAAGCTTCCATAAAGGAGGCTCTCACCTGCTCCCAATCTGATCGCAGCACCACACATTGGTATTGGACCAAGCTACGGCCCTCCAAGCTCTCATAAACCGGTATGTCATGCTCAAGAGCTGCCATAAAGTCTCGCATATACGCAGCCAAAGAAAACCTCTTTTCTTTGCTCCGAGCCCACAGAGTCCATCCGCGACTTGTCTTTGCCGAGATGGTGATCCTCTCAATTGAAGAGGTGGTTTCGCTCTCTGTGTAGTCCTGTTTGTCTGGAAGCAACGGCGGTCCACGATTGAAGCTGCGCATCCCTAGAACCATGTAGAGCCTCGCATCCCGCAAACGCATCTTACGGACCGCACCACGGTTCAGAAACCTTGCCATCGCCAAGCGGGCCGCCTCTGCGAGAAAGCGGAACAAGGGCGAAGCCCAATAGGGCCACTTGTCTTCAGGTGTGCTGAAGACCAGAACTGTTCTAAAGCTGCTGGTCCCACCTTCCTTGCGAGCTATGAGAATGCCATCTTGCCCTGTTCCATGATAGTCCTGGAATACTGCATAAGCGCAGTCACCATGTTCGGGGAAGTCTCGACGCAGCTGATGTCGGGCAAGGATGGGCTGTTGGTCATAGAAGAAGCTGTTAGCGAAAGGGCCCACTGAGTTGCCAAAGAGCACTGAGCCAATGCGGAAGATCCACATGGTGGTGCTCCTTTCGACCAGTGTATCGCCAGGAGCGTAAGTTTCCAGCAGCTTCACTTTGATCTTCAATGACTCATCCTCACACGAGGTGCCTCGTATCTCAGGCCTCACGAACAAATCGCAGGATCTTTCTGGGGCGTGCTCAATGAAAAGATTCTTGGATTCAAACCTGATCAAATGGCCACCCCAAGGAGATGAACGATGAGACAATGATGCCTCTTGAGTTCGTGCAGCCACCTCCCAGTTCAAGTCGGACATAAATGAGCTCGCAAGGTCAAAGAATGCCTCGATTCTTGCAGGCTGAATTGCCATTGCCAAATGTCGACACCTCTTTTCCCAAAGAGGGGAGCAACGGCCCCTTGAACCATGAATTTTGTGCTCCGCGTGCAACTGACATCAAAGAACAATCTGAGTAACGCTGGTTTTGGGAGTTCTGGGAATGTCTTGTGTTCAAGAAAACCATGAGTGCATGTTGATACATGTTGCTATAGCTTGCCCACAATTACCCGGCAGAATATACAGCATACAAACGGGGGACGTGACCATTACCATCATTGCCTGTGCGTTTGGGATCTTCTAGGCATGTCTTTTTCTGCCACCCATGTGATCAGCTTTTAGCTTCATGATGTCCAAAACATGAAGAAATCCAACATGTGTTTGATGATCGAAAAATATTTGTTTAAAAGTCTAGTGATTGAATGACTGCTTAATATGTTTAACATGTTTGGCGGGTTCTAAAGGACTCCATCCAGTCCCTAGTCTCCTCATCACAGTCGCGGTAGTGCCACACGATAGCAGAGGCCTTGTCCTCAATGGTGGCGCCTTTCAGAGGCGAAAAGGCTCGGGTGGATTTCACCAACTGCTGGGACCGGTTCAGAACCCTCCTAGGACAACAAAGCCCGAGACATCTCCCAACCAGAAAAATAGCTCAGGATCCGTGACATGCAAGGTGGTGTCGGGCAGCGTGGCAACATCACCAAACGGGTACGAGTAAAAAGCTCGATTGCCAAACATGTGGACATAGTTTGGCGTTAGATAAGTATAAACGAAGTCTACGTACTCAGGCAATCACAAAAACCTCTCTTAATTGTGCAGTTCCATCAGCTACTGCCAGCATCCTCGCCTGGGGTACAGCGCTGAAACATGTCCAGAACTGGACGCACCTTCTCCTTCCAATTGCAAGCATTCAAGCACTTCCAATATTAGCTTCTATCATTGTAGTTATTTACTGTTTTAAATATACTCGTTTGCAAGCTTGAAGACTGCACGCAAAACTCCGACAAGCCTTCCAATCCAGTGTCTGATATGGAGTGAACGGGACCCATTCATGCAGGGTATCAGGCCCACGCTTGAAGTACCCTGCCAAACGCCAAGCCAATCAAGCCAGTCATACACCAGCACCTATTCAGTAGAATCGGACTTTGCGCAAACAAGACCTCTCTGCCTTGCATACAATACTAGGCGTGAAGTGCATCCAAACGATCCAATACCAAGCCCAAACAAACATCGTTGTCTGGATTACATCAGTGAAATCGTGGCTGTGGGACCGTGCTCCGCAATGAGCGTCAAATTCGCATAGGCCCCGAAGTGGCCCTCAAGAAAGGTCTTGTCCCGTCCACTCACCTGCAGCGCACTGCCGATTGGGCGGGTGTGCGGTATTGAGTCCTCAGGTCGTGGCCATGTACAGCTTCAAGTCACCTCTCCTCAGCTGTTGAACATGTCCGAACCGACGCTCAGATTTGCAGAGGGACCCCACTTCAGAAAGACGTCATCCATCGGAGAGCTCACACCAAATCAAAGTTATAAAGGGTCTTAAATCCCAGTTCGGCCAAGGCCAAGAGACTAAAACCCCAAATGGCCCACATTTAGCGCAGTGTTTTCGAAGTTGGAAATCGAGAGTCTGGTCCAGCTGCTTCAAGAGCTCCAATGTGTCTTCGGTGGGCACTGCATCCTCCGGCTTGGCCTCACACGATTGCAGCAGATTGTGGGAGCTTGTGGTTTCAAAAGACTGCTCAAAGGCAGCCCTAGCAGTGGCCCAAATATGGACTTAGCGGGCGCCAAGGAGAACAAGATTCAGTCTCCCCAGCTTCGCGCATGAAAACTGGTCACCACGGCCTCAAATTCTCGCAGAGTGCCATCGTAGTCCAAGAAGATTGCCTTTGTGCCTTCGTGGTTTGCCTTGGTTTTGGAGGCTCAGCTCGACTCACTCAGAAGGCCATGCACCCCAAACAGTATGCTGCACAGGGGAGAAGGAGTGATTAGGATCTTTTTTGCACACTTATCGGTCAGGTCACGAAGAAACGGGCTGCCAAGCGGTCATCCAGCATTTCCATCGCCACCCTTTCCTCAGCAAGCGGCACAGAGAGAGAATTGAGTCCAAGCAGACCTTGGAAGTACAAGTGCACACACGAAAACCACGCTGGGTCCAAACGTGTCCTTTTCGGGAAGGGCCAGTTAGGACCAGGTTCCGGCCGAGCGATCCTTTGGCCAGTGTAGGGCTTTTCCAGCTCCTTGAGCATATTAACCCCCCAGGAGACCTCAGGCACATTGACCCGTGCGTTGGACTTGTCATCAAAAACTAAAAACTAGGACTAGGGTTTTTGTCAGGCTTTGAGTCTTCTCGCGTTGTAGCACTATCTTCCAACGTGTCCCTCAGAGAAGCTAGTTCAAGCACAAGTAGCTGCATCATTCTGCACCACAGATTGGCGCATGCGCTCCGTCACTTCCCATCTCTGGTCCTCTCAAGCAAACCACCTCTTGTCGGCAAACTGCCATTGAAGTGAAGTTTTGGATTCCCATGGGACAATGGAGTTTGGATGCAGCTGTGGCGCACTTGCAGCAAAAACAAGATAATGATAAAGCCCACAGACCCGGCTAAAACAACTTGAATATTTCAGACTATATATATGTACACAGTACGCGTTCCAGGACACTCTTGCACGACACTCTTCTGGGACACTGTTGCGTGACATTCTTGTAGGCCACACTCTTGCTTCGGACTTTTGTGCGAGGCCCTAACACTAAAGTAGGCGCTGCGCCACACTTCGTGGGACACTCTTGCTTGACACTCTTGTGGTGCGGCACGCTCGCGTGATACCCTTTTGCAGGACACACTTAGGGCCTTAGGGAAGCCCAAAGGGGAGCCCGCCCGCACGCCAACCCCGGCACAGCGACAACCAATCACCTGCACCAAACTGACACGTCAAGTGTCCAAAACGAGATTTTCAAATGAGACTTTCTGCAAAAGTGCCGCGTCAAGTCTTAGAAACGAGCGTTTCCTACGAGATTACCTTCAAAAGTCACGCATCAAATCTCCAAAATGCTTCCATCCAAGACCTCCGATTCAAAAGTTTCCCCCTAACGGGAGGGCCATAGTGCGATCATACAACCGGTTGCAAGGGTTGAGCAACGTCCCGCAACGACAACCCTTCGCTACGCATTTAGGAAAACAAAAAAAATCAATGCTTTAAAAATACAAGAATTACTGCACATAAAACTGCATACATCTAATTACAACGATTCCACATGACTATACACAAGCAAAGAGAGAGAGAGAGAGAGAATCAGAATCACCACCATTGAATCCTTCACCCAAATGGCCCGCTCCTCGCTCAAGCGATTGCCCCGCGTAAGCTCCAAGCCAATCTTGGAACACATGCTAACTCCCTCCCACTGTTGATTGCACACGAATGTACAAAAAAAGACCACAATTGATTGTATAATAAGTCCTTACAGGCCTGGATCAAATATGTCTAAAGCCTGGAACCCGCCAAGAGGCTGCAATGGCATCTGCAACTGCATCTTCATCATAAGGATTTACTACTATTGCATCAAAGAGCTCCTGCGACCAAGTCAGCCGCTGGGCCATTTGGGGTGAAGGAGCGTAACAGAATACACATGTGACTATCAACGCTTGGATCACTTGAGGCTGTGGACGGAGGGTTCTCCAAAAACTTTAAGCAATCCTAGATGCAACCATGTCCCCGCAAGAACCTTTCAGATGTAGATTCGATGTTGTCTTGTGATTTGAGGTCAATGATTATGATGATTACAGACTAGAATGATTATGGAAGCAAAATGATGATGATGATGATGATTATTGTTATTATCATTATTATATATCATTATTAGTATTACCCATACTGTATTCTGACTAGGATGGTTACACACATAATGCGGGCAGCAGAAGATGATCCTAAGATGATTATGATGGTCACACACACAAATGATGGTTATGATGATGAGGGGGTGGGGGGGTGCGGGGTGGGGGGTTGGGGCCAAAGTGTTGACGTTCAGTGGATTCATCTTGATGTTTACGTAACATAGGCTAGGCCCCCCGGTCTGCTAGACAAATTGTGGTGGCCACGCACATGATGACTATGATGTCGCTTCCAAATGTTGGAAAGCGAGAGCTCAGACAGTACAACCTTTTGCTCAATGATTCCAAAGACGCAATCCATCACAGCAACTCCTTGCAGCTCACTACCATCAGAGCAGGTCTTGAGAGCTTCTCGATTTTTTGCGCGAAGGCATGCGAAGCATGCATGGTGCCACGTGATGCATTCAAACAAGCACTGTGGCAAACTTGAGATCGAGCTGTTTGACTGCTGCTGCGGCCTTTTGTGGCGATAATGGGCTATTTAACTTTATACATTTCCAAAGAAGGACATAATGTGCAAGAATCCTGAAACTACACCTGGACTGGGGAGAGGGGAGATAAAAACACACCCTTGAAATAATAACATGGCTGTAGACCTTCGGGACCAGTGTATGGCCAAAAAAGGCTGACTATCAAACATATGGCTTTGTGAAGCCATGTAAATGCACTGTGATTTACAATGTAAAAAGCACCACGTCCAGATTTACTGCAGCAGTGTATTGTGAAGCTTTTTTCAACATGAAATGCGATATTCAAAAACCATGAAACCACACCCTGCCCGGGGAGATGAAAACAATCATGCAACTTATACATCTTGATGCGGATTTTTCGGAAAACAAAACAGCGTTTCTCTTAGCACATGGTTCAATGTAGATGGAATACCAAAACAAGCACTAACAGAAACACAAGCAGGCTCCGCGTTGAACCCCTCGTCTGCAGCTCCCACCTGAGCTGAGCCCGCCAGTTCGGACAGAACCACAGCACCTGCCAAACGAGAGGTCTCCAGACATCTTTGCCCAATGGGCACATGCTCCAGGCTGTGAAACGACAGAACGGCGCCTGGCACCACATTCTCGATGCTACGGTCTTTGGAGGCGATGAACTCTTTGGCCTTGGACAACGCGCCGAAGACGACCGCAAAGTACGAGTTCCGTTGGCCAGGCAAACGTTCCCTGCTGACTTGTCGTTCAAGCAAGTTCCCCAAAACTATCAGAAACTCCCGAGGACATGGGACGCATTGGGACGCTCATATCTAGCAAGAAGACCTGTTCTTGCGAATCTTCGCGCCCATATCCCCCTCTATAAATCTGAAGGCCTCTGCGTGCTATCCTCATGCTGCCTAGTCACCACCAAGTTCATTCCATCAATCAATGGGGTGACCAGGCAACAGTCAGCTCGCGCATACAAAGCAGCAAGCTCCGCCAAAGGCACGCCGCGGTGGATGTACACAATCGGCTGATGCCTAAGGCTAAGGCGTGACACGGCTCGCTGCAGCTGCTGCACTGGCCATCAGCAATGGGTTGCCGCAATCCATGGGCCGCAACCCACATTCAATGATTTCTTTCAGTCAAGGTTGGCTAGGTCGCAAGTTCAAACACCAAGTCTCTTGATCAGAGTTGCAAAGGAAAGTCGCAGTGCTCATCCCAATTTAGGGGAGTAAAGCTCGAGACCTCTGCAGCCCCAGCTGCGACAGAGTGGAAAACATCCCGTTGATGGTGCTGATGCTCCGATGGACTTCCTCCTCAATCTTCTGATACTCCTCCACATCCCGCCTGAGGGTGTAACTGCTGTTTGTGCTTCTTTTCAAGCTGACCGGTGTGACCAACAAGGGAGGAGGGCTGGATTTCAGATTTGCTAGGTGTCGTTCTAACCTGTAAGCATCCGTGCGGAGTCGTGCAGCTTCTGCCGTGCCTGGATGGGACAGCAATGAAGACGAAGACTGTCTTTTTGTGATCCAGGCGGGTCCTCAATGAAGTCAATGGCAAACTCCATTCTGAGAAACAGGTTTGTACCATCACGGCAATTGATCATGATGCCAAGTATCTCTGTAGGCGAGGTCGAGTAGTCACCAACCATAAACTTCATGGCCATTTCACCTCCGACACATTTGGCAGCTTAAACATCCCTTCAGAAGCACCTCATGGTCACTTGCCAACACCTTAATTAGAGTTCGGAAAGCTCGTTCCAGGCACCAACCAATGCATGAAACTCATTGAACGAAGCTGACGAACCCGTGTCCGGCCTATTCGTCGCAAGTTGGACGTAGCAATTCCGCGATTGGCCTGCAGGTGTGACGGGGCTGCGTATGACTGCACAAAGATATTCACCAAGTGATGAGCAGAATGGAAAGAACTGATCTCAAAGTCAAAATGAGTTGTCAAAAACCTGGTGGCTCTGCAGAAAGGGCTACACTGCACCGTACTTCTCGCAGATTTGTCTGAAATTACAGACTGAGGGGCTGCTTGCCACTGTTTCTTCTCAATCCACCTGGCCTTGTGATTGTCCAAGCGCTCGAATCTCTTTTGAAGTTCCTCCATGCGATCTGTGCGTGTCTCATTGTCGTCATCTGCATTCCTCAAGCGCCGATGAGCGGTCAAACATGGTCAAACGAACAAAGGTCATGAGAGGATTGGGAGTGGACACTGGGCTCTGTGCTAAGGGCTTGGACCTTTTCCAGAATGGGGGGCAAAAGTCATCGATAACTGCACTTGGTTAGGCAACGGGTCAATGCTGACCTTGGCCGGCTCAGACTTCTAGGTTCCAGAGACAGGCGTCATTTTCGCATCCTCAAGGTATCGTTGGATGGCTGCAAGCTTCTGAGGCACGCCCTTGGAGTAGTCCAGGCGCTCCACGTTCAAAACCAAACTCTTGCCTGGAGATGTTCCACCAAGTATGTCAGCTCAAAGCACACGCCAATTAGTACACTACTAGTAGCAAGAAGCTACAAGGTGGAGGCCATCACCATTAGGTTGGAGGCCACTACTACTAGTAACAAGAAGCTACTAGTAGCAGGAAGCTACTACTAGCAAAGTAAATATCCAGGCACCAATCAAAGTCGAGATGTTCCACATCAATCGGCCTCTCTTCCTGTATGACTATCCCTATGCTCAATTCTCAACATTACATAGGTCAAGGATGGTCAAGGTACCTTGGAACTGCTCAGTGTACTCCTTAAGGTGCTGCGCAAACTGCTCCTCGGCACAGGTACCAGCAATCCCCAAGTGACAAGGCCAAACCAAACATTGTGCAACTCCCTGCCACCTTCCCCCACGATCCTCCAAGGCAGAAAAGAACAAAGCCAGGAGAATAATGATGCGTCCCGTTTTCTTATCCTCCGATTGACCTGTTACTCTGGGCCAGGCACGGTCTTCATGGCGTCTGCAATGCCTTGAACCTGAGAGACAGCGGCACCTCTTGCAAAACCAGGAGCCGAACCCATCACACAAGCCGAAAAATGTGTCCATTCAACAAAAACAGCGTGCACGTTCGCGCACACGCACACAAAGAAAAATAGAAGGACATGCAGTCAACTTGAACTACCATCCATCGGAAATCGCAAATAAGTGTCTGGGGCGTGCATGCTCAAACATCTACTAATATATATACATTCCGGATCCTTCATGGTCCTTAATTTTAGAAACTGACCTGCAGGACTCCTACCACAATTTAGAACAAGTCAAGAAAAGTTCCCGTGCATTTTAACCAACATCCAAGTTAAGTCTCCTGCCCTTGGGCTTGAGTCCCCAAGGCCCTAGAAAAGCGATGAACAGTGAACGGCCTTCGGAACACTATTGAAAACCGTTTCCCTATCGCATTGAAATCATCAAGGAATCCAAAACCAACCCCCACATTTCCTCATGTCCTCTTTTCCTCTGGTTTGCTCTCTCACCGATTGCCGAGTGCCCTCGCATTAGCGCCAATAGGGAAGACGCCGAGCTTGGTCCGTTGGCCACGGTGGTCCACGTGGTCCATCTCTGGGGTGAAGCCACAGAGTCGGATCACACAGGACCGGAAGTGACGCCTCAATTGAAGTGGAGAGGAGGTGGTTGGAGGGATCGCAGGATCCAACGTCATTCGCAATGCTGGTGTTGGCATGAGTTGCAAAGGACCAAGGCGCAAATAGTTGTAAGTGTGAAACCCGATGAGGTCCGCCCCAAGGACACCCTCTACCACATCCACGCACTGTGGAAGGACACAAAGCACCTGCGTGCTCTCAAACGATCAAAGCATGCAAAGGCCGTGCACATGCAAAACCCACAGAGCCGGCCTCGTATGACGGAAAAGGCGTGTGCAGGAAAAAGGCCTTGGTACATCTGAGTGCCCTGAGCGTTCTGCTTGCGTTGAAGCACAATGCAGTTTGCACGGTGGTTCCCGAACCCCTTCGTTGGCCTAGTTCCGCCAAGGCACGATGCGCAACTTGCTGCTGAGCTCAATGTGTGTGATGCTGCGGCGCATTCTCTTGACTTCACCTTCAGGATACCCAGACCTTGGCAAATCCACCCAGGTTCTGTGGGTACAGTGTGTTCGATATCCGGGCCTAGGTGCTCTAGGAACAAGACAGCGTCTCAACATCAACACTAAAATCAGAGTCTATGCTGGCAGGTTGCCCATTCTTGGCTTCTGCACCCTGCCGGTGCAAAAAGCCAGGCTGAACAAATCTAGCAGGAACTATCTTAGATTATACCTATAGTAAGTCTTGTGAAGTTGCCGGTCCATGCGCCAAGAAAAGAAAATGGAAGCAAAAAGAACTGCAGCATTCAAGGTCTCGATTTCGTCCATCGACCTCTCTCTCTTCCCCTCTCACCGTGCTGCACTTCACCTCAGCAACATCCTTGCCCTCATCCTCGGACGTTGTTTGCGCATCCAAAGCGGTGCCAAAAGCCTCCCGTCCACCACGAGGCGTCCCAGTCAACGCTTCCTGGCCCGCTTGCAAGTGGAGCTACTTGTTCCTAGTAGCTACTTGTTACTAGTAGTAAGGCCCGGAGCCCCTAGTAGCATTCTTGCTCCTAGTAGCGATGTCAGGAGCCCCTAGTAGCTTTATTGCTACTATTAGCTTCGTGTTCCTAGTGATAAGGCCAGGAGCTACTAGTAGCGTCCTTGCTCCTAGTAGCGATGCCCTAGTCTTTTTATCAAAGCCTCTCAAGATAGGAAGACAATGGTAAGGCCGGTAACGGCTCTTTGACAGGGCCCCCTTTCAAGGGGCTTACTAAAGGCGCTTTACTAAGGCTCTTTACTAAAGGGGCTTTACTACAGGGGCTCTTTTCTGTCCTGTCCTCCGTTGTAAAACGCTTTTGAGGAGTTGTCCGGAGATCTTTCTACGTTCCTAGGTGTTTCCAATTCTTCTCTGCCTCGCCTGGAAGTCGAAGTGCTCGCTGTTGCCTGCTCTTTCGAGGGCTCCTACGCCATCTTCCTCTTCTCCTTCTCCTTCTTCTTCTTCTTCTTCTTGTTCTTGGCCCTCCTGACAGCCATGTGCGGAGGCGGTTACCGTTCTCCGCAGCCCTCCATGTGTGGCAAGCGTTTTTTGGACCCAAGGTTGAAGCCGCAATGAAGAAGTGTGGAGAGCGGGCGTTGTCTCTAACACCACCACAAAAGACCTTCATGGTCCTCACTTTGCTGCCGTTACATGCAATAAAGACTAGCGTGAAGGGCTAATCGTTGTCCTCAAGTGTGCATGGAAGCCCTTCTGGACGCTTCACGGTTCTCACTTCATGAGTGTCGTGGAGCGGTGCAGGGAGATGTCCTGCCGAAGATGCGGTAAGGCACTTGCCCACGTTGGACAGCAGCGGGGTAAGGTTTTCGAGGGAATGGCAGGCAACATTCCAAGTTTTTTGGCCCTGCATTCCAGAAATCTCTAGTATCTGGCTGTCGATGACAAGGGTTGTGATCATCTGAAAGGGAGGTACAACGCAATCATGCATGAAGTTGGAAGAAACATGATCTAAATACTATGAAATTGGAACGACATTAAAATGCCCTCCTACTTGCTAATCTTCATAATTAAGGTTTTTTAAGGGGAAGTTGGCGGGGGATTGGGATTTTTATATATTCCAAGGTGAGAATAAGTCCGGCAGAAGCTGAGTTGATGTATCTCAATTTGAATACCAACATGGACTTTAAAAAAATAACAGTTTATATACATCGTTTATTCTTTTATCTGACTACTAATCATGTCACTTCTTCCGACAGTCCCAAGGTCAGGTCTCATAGACCCAGATTACCTGACATACCTCAACAGTGGTCAGATCTTCCTCGCAAAAATCTGATGATCATCCTTGCCAACTTTTTTTTCCTGATCGGCTTGGCTGCAAGGTCTTAGGTCTCTTAGCCTTAAGCACTTCAGCTGCAGCTCAGTTCTTGAGCGTCAGACCACACAGCACAATGCTCCAAACGGATCCAATGACGGTGGCATGCATTCCCTCACGGAAGCAATGCATGTCAACAAAATACGGCAACAAACAAACCCAATGGTAGTAGAGAGCCAGTAAGTAACCAGTCGTAGTAGTAACTAGTAACGATTCATACTAACCAAGTCCAGTCCCTGGTGGCAGGGAGACAACTGGAACCAACCATCCTCTGGAAGAAGTTGACGCTCTTCAGGGACGCCAGTGACACCAGCACCACTAGGAGCATTGACATGCACAAGGAACATACAGCCTTGCCGAAGCAAGGCTGGCAACCAAGACCCGCAGATAGGTCTCTTGAGCGGATTTTGGTCCAAATTCACCACGACTGAAGCTATTGCTCCACCTTGGCATTGCCAAAAAAAAGGTCATTGTCATTGTCGTGTCATGTCACGAGTCATGGTCATGACTCATGACTGGAAAAAAATTGACTAGAGCAATAGAGCAATGCATCAATGCATCAAGCAACGTTTCTGACACTTCTCCTGCAGTTTGCGCACTTTCTTGAGAGATCGATAGTGCTGAAGCCACACCTGTTTTGTACCTTGGAACTCGGCATACTCGACTAAGCCTGAACTGAACATGACTTCAATGACTTCCATTCAAACAACTTCTTTCCCAAGAAACCACTGAGCAATTCCTTGAAGGATGATTTCACAGATTTGCAAGCCTTGTGGGAAAGCTGCTGACGAGCACGGTCAACTTGTTCCTGCCAAACAATGCCGCTTATATAAGTTGAAGTTAAATAGAGTTGCATGATTGCAAGTGCTGTTTCTTGCTTTGCTTTTGCTTGCTAGTAAAGTAGCTAGTTATTACTAGATAAATACTTACTGCCTACTACCTACCCACTCGCCTGTGGAGCGCAGAACAATGAACTCACAGGAAGGACTGGCCGGCGAAAGAGTCTATGAATCATATTCACATCTTTTAGGCTGCATGTTGCGTCACGCGTCATGATGGTGTAAAGGCGTGGACGATGTTCTGGCCACCCAAAGCAATGTTGGCTCAACAATAGCCTTTTGTTTGGATCCTCCTGCAACAGTAATGAGTCAATGTCAACAATTGAGTCAACAACTCAACACATCACTGAGTGTCACTCAACACAAAGAATGTATGCAGTCAAATTGAAGCTGTTGGTCAAAAGCTGACTCTGCTGACTCCTACATGCTCCTACACAAACTGGGGACTGGAAGTGCAGAGCGCAGTGCAAAAAAAAATGTTTCCCGAAGCGCCAAAGGCCCTTCACTGATGTTCCACGATGTTGTCAATGTGTCGTGACACCATCTGAGTTGGCTAAGAACTAAGCAGACTAAGGACTAAGGACTCAGAAAATGAGCTTTTTTGCTCAAGAAACGACGAACTATGAACGGGACCGGACGGGCCGGGCGATTGATAAGATGATGTGTGTATTCCACATCATTGGTCTTGACCACAAATCACTAAAACAACGAGTTGGTCACCACCACCACTAACAAAACATTTCCGCGATTCAACAGTGCAGTAGCCTGCTGTCAGGACACCATTCATTGATTGTGGAATGGGCAAACCACAGCCCACTGCCAAGGCACTCCTATGATGCCTCAAATGCCCTGACGCAAACACACAGGCACCGTTGCATCCCCTGTACACTCTAAGCCCCCAGTACACGAGGTGCACGACGAAGTTCACTGACCATCATGGGTTTCCATGTGATTCGATCTTCTTCATCCTCAGCTCGAGAAGCACCAGCTGTGGCTGTGGCAGTGTTTAGGCCTGTTGCTCAGTAGTCATTGTCTGATGTGAGAAGCAGTTTGCTTTGCAATTCAAACAAGACAAATTGTAAGGGGCGAACGGGCCATTCAAAAATTCAAAAACTTGAGAGAGGAGGGGGGTGAACGAAAGGTAGCAGGGAATCAGGCGTAATCCGGGAGGAGGTGAGAGGCCCCCCACTTGTTTGAAGAGAAGTGAGTGAGCGTGATGAAAGAAAGACTAATGCACAAACGCTTGACAAAACCTCCAGAAGCTGTAGCGGTCTAGCGGTTTCAATACAGTTTGACGTGCCTTCAAAAGGAGTCACATATTTCTCAAGTGCAACTTCGGATTTACATAGTGACGTGCGGCGACCCTGTAAATTGCGTGGCCGCAGGCCATGCTTGCAAACAGGACGTGCTCAAAAACACTGGTATTTACGAGGTTTCGTTGCCGTCGATCCACAGCCGCGGCAAGGTCTAAGGCCACGCTTGAAGACAGAAGGAGCTGAAAACACTGGTATTTACGGTATTTTGTAGCCGTCGATCCAAAGGCGCACCACGGTTGAGCGCTGGAAAAGCGCAGAAAACCATGTAAATACCGGCGTTTTCTGCCGGGAAGGTGCACAAAACCCTGTAAATACCATAGTTTTGTGCAATTTTGAAGCCTCCAAAAGCCTCAAAAACCCTTTCTGACAAAATCTTTCCTGGTTTTTGGTCTTTTTTCGGTCATTTGTCTAACCGAGACGCATCAAAAACCATCGGTTTTTGCGGTGTTTTTTGCCGGACAGCCACAAAAAACGCTGTAAATTCCATGATTTTTTGTCACTGCTGAGGACTGGAAGAGCTGAAAACACTGATATTTACAGTGTTTTCGAACGGTTGACCCTGAGGCGCGCTAGGGTGGAGTTGAAAGGGGGGGGGGGGGGGCGCCCCCCCCCCAGCAAACGACGATGTCGGGGACCATTTCTCCGAGAGATAGGCTGCAGCTCTGGGTTAATACATTTTTGCTAAAGCAAAAGGAAAACTCAGGTAGCGTAACCGCTACCTTTCGTGATAAGAAAAAAATCCAAAGCAAAACCCAACTGCACTGAACATCAAGGCTATTGACGGTTTGCTCACCGGTGTCCATCTGATCCTCAGCATCCTTCTTTGCCTTCTTCTTGCCACCCTTGTTGTCTCCTCCACCTGTCATCTTACGCTTCCGATCCAAGGCAGGCTGAGCCTTGGCCTTGGCCTTCGATTTGGCCTTGGCCTTGACTGCTGGTTTTGCCTTTGGGCTGGCCTTAGCCTTGGCGGATCTCTTCTTCGGTTCAGCCTTGGCCTTCGGTGCTTTTTTTGGCTGTGCTTTAGCTTTGGGCTTTGCCAAAACACTTCTGATCACCTTTGAACTTTCGGATTGCTCAGCAGCAGTAGTTCCCTCAGCTGCTGCAGCAATCGATTCTGAAGCCTCATTCTGGTCCTTATCGCTCTTCGTCTTCTTCTCCTTCTTCTCCTTCTTGCCATGCTTCTCCGTCTTGTCATGCTTCTCCTTCTTCTTGTCATGCTTCTCCTTCTTCTTGTCATGCTTCTCCTTCTTGTCATGCTTCTCCTTCTTGTCATGCTTCTCCTTCTTGTCATGCTTCTCCTTTTTCTCCTTCTTCTTGTCATGCTTCTCCTTTTTGTCATTCTCCTTTGTGGTTGTATTCTTCAATCCTTCAAAGGTCTCTGCCTTGGCCGCTGCAGCATGCGACTCCATCACACTTTCAGCAGCTGATTTTGCCTCAGCTCGGGTGACTTGGGAGGCATTCTTGAACAGGCCTTCCAAAATTGGGAAGCCCTTCAAGCGGGCAGTTGGATCAGGCGGCACTGTGGATCCTGAGGCAGCGGTTGGATCAAGTTCAGGTTTTGAATCTTCAATTGCAAGCAGAGCGAGAGCAGGTGCATGTGGCTGGGTCTGCGTTTCAACCTTCTCGCCTGCATCTTCCTTGTCCTTCTCAACCTTCTCACCTTGTCCTTGAGCTGCTGGTGTTGCAGCCTTTTCATCACTCTCACGTTCAGCCTCTCCATCATTCCTTGTCACTGTCACCTCTTCTTCTTTCTCAGCCTCACCCTCATTCTCAGCCTCTGGCTTTGACTCTTCATCATCGCTTGGAGCGTGTTCCTTTTCATCATCAGTGTCAGCCTTTGCCTCTGCATCTTCCTCCTCTGGAACTTCCTCATCTTCCTCCTCTGGAACTTCCTCATCTTCCTCCTCTAAAACTTCCTCATCTTCCTCAGCGGCATTGTCGACAACCGGGGCGTGTGCCGTGTTATCCGCACGGCCGCAGTCTTCGGCAGTTTCTTCCTTCGGAGGAATATCACCATTCTCTCGCCCTTCTCCATCTTGAAGAACATTGTCTCGCTTGAGGACTGGTGTTGCAGCAGGGTTCTCAGTGAAGATCTTGATCAAATTGCGAACGATTGGGCTCACGCAATTCCTAAGATGGTCCAGTGTCCAGTGCAAGTCCGAGGGAAACCAATTTGCCCATGTAATGGGGACCCCCAAACCCCATGGTACCCATAGTGTATATGTCTTTTTGTTTTTATATAAATGAAATAGGGACCACCACATCCCTTCACCATCACATCATCCAAGATACTACAATCACAGTGACACTGACACTGTCATGTTTCTTGTTTTCCAAATGAAGTCCAGTCACTTTGGGTGTGCGGCAGCGATGAGTAAAGTACTGCTGCTCGAATCCTGTGCCAGAACCATGCTCGCGGTCCGGAGAGCTATGTTTGTTGCCCCAACTGCCTTCTCGACCAACAGTGCCCCAGGTGGAATGTACATCACATCGCCTGCCACCAAGAAACCATGGCGAATAGATTTCAACTGGCCCAGGTTAACCGTCTCAGCATCAAGGGACTGGAGGAATTGAAGAGTCTCCTCCAACCAACCACATGGTGAATCTCACTATCAGTCTTACCGTAATCACTCCAATATGAATATGTACCTGTTTTTAAAAATTCTGCGGCTGTGGAGTTTGGATGCTTGATGAATTGGTTATATAATGTTATGTTATTTTCAAAAATTGTGCTGGCTGACTGTTGCTGTTACTATACAATAAACAATGACATCACAACCCCAGCTCCTGGTAGACAGACAAAGCATTCTCGTCAGTCACATCCCTTTCACTATCCTTCCTTCCCTTCAAATCCATCATGGCATTTGCACATTCTATGGCATCAGCCACAACCACCAGTCGACTTCCCTCCAGCTGGTAGACAAAGTTACCAAGGAAGTTACTAATGCAACCTGCGAAGGCTTCTCCTTGACGGTAAGCAGTCCAGGTCATCCCCGAAATCTTGTAGGACTCCTTTTGTTGCCTATCTTCTGCGGCCCCAAGATTCTTGGCCCTCTCCTCCACCCTCAGATCTCAGAACAATGTCTTATGTTAGTTTGTCGGTATAAATATATTTATAGTTTAAGTGGTAACCTATAACAACAAAAAACACTTTACAACTTCAACTTGAACTACAATGTTACAGCAAGACAATTTTTGAATCATAGTCTAATTCGGCCAGGAAACAGTTGAGCTACGTAGCTGCGATCCAAAACTGCTGTCTTCACTGAAGCACCATCACCACCACCACCATTAATTTCTTCAAGCTTGAGGGAAACCAACGCATCCATGCCAAGCAAGTTTCCCGGCCCTTCAACGATGGTAGCCATGCGAGCCTCACCAGCCAGTCAGTCAGTGGCAAGAGGTTACAAGCTCTGACAGACTTTCAAACTGAGAGGGTAGAAGGTGACATGACACAACATGACAGGCCATGACCATTACCATGAATCAAAAAACACCACACCGATTGCGCCAAGCTGCGTCCGTACGGTTTGGCTCTGAGAAAGTCTTCTCAGCAAGGCTTGAAAAGTCACTGGCTGTGGCCACCATGTGCTTCTGCATTTTGGAAAGCTGAGCTGCATTCAAAAATCCAGTAGCCTTAACACATGAGATTCAATGACTTAACTCTAAAATTTCAAGCGTGACGGCAGCGACGGCCAATTGAGGATTTAACTTTTCAAAGGAGCTGAGCTGGCTGACGGAAACAATTCAAAGCGTTATTCCCTGCTAAGGCCAGTCTCAATCAGGACTTTCCTGAAGGAAGCTTTCTTCAATCTTGCTGCGCAAGGTGCAGTTGGATCGCCTGAGAGTGCCAAAGCCCAAGCATCCACGTCTTCAAAAAAAGGCATATTCCCAACCTGGAATGTTGCCATTTCTCGGAGAACTTGAGGATCATGGGGTTGTAGCTCGTCTTGCCCACCAACCTTGCGCCTCCGCTCCCGTCTCTTCCTGTTGTCGTCCTCCTCATTCTCATTCTCATTCTCACCCTTCGCTCGTTCCGCAGCTGCAAGCTTTGCTGCCTCCTTTGCAGCTGCTTTCATTGCCTTTTGCCTCTCCTTCTCTTCCTTCTTGGTGGCCGCCGTTTGTGCCTTCTGCTCTGCTTTTTCCTCCAACTGTTTGGCTTTCAAAATGGCCACCATTGAGCTCTTCCAGGTGTTTGTCTCTTGTATCAGACAGTCAGCAATCTTCTTCAGGGCAGACATAGCAGTCAAGCGGTCTTCCACCATTGCAGCCACGCGGCCTGCCGTGGGTTGCCTTGGGTCACTGGAAAACAGCAGATAAAAGGAGCTCGGAACCAAAAGTCCATAGTCAGAGCCAAAGTCAAAAGACAAAATGAACTTGACAAGAGAACTAAGGTGCAAGTCCAACAGAACATCCCGCTGGTGTTTGGCCATTCCATAAGTCAGAATGGCCTCTGGTCGGGAGAAGATCGTGCTGGACAATTCCTTGATGTAAGGGTCCATGATCGAGCTATCATAGAGTTTCTTGGAAGCTTCTCCGCCAACAGGGCCTGTAGATTCATCCAATGCCATGGAAACCTCAACTAATTCGAAAAGCGGTCAAGACAAGGCCCAAGGCTGGACTTGGGTTGAAGTTGACAGTTCACAAAGACTGACAAGAAAGGCATGTGATGCAGTTAAATTCAGTGGAGACTGAGCTGGATAAAGCTGGAACAAGTAACAGGTTCGGGCTCGAGCGGCTCGACTAAAATTAAAGGTCCAGGTTCAAGAGTCAAGAGCGGAAAGTCAAAATGTTCTGCAAAAACATACATTCATACAAGCAACCAAATTCAACCTGGATTTTACCAGGCATAGCGAAGGATCAGACTCCACTTTATCCCGATCACCCAACAACTTCACTGCAACAGTGTCCAAAAGTGATGTAGCGTCTGACTTTGCCTTCTCCAAAGACTTCTTGACTTCAATGAACTCTTTGCAAGACCGCGCCCTTGCCCTCGCAGCAGCCAACAGGGGATTCTCCGATGCCACTGCAGCAGTGGAACGGGAAGGCTTTCTTTTCGGCTTGGCTGCGGCTGCGGCTGATTGTCCTGATGCAAAATCCTGAATCTGAAACTTGCTCACAGCAGGGCCACCAAGGCCAGAACACGTTTTGGAAATTGGCACAAGACCATCGTCGTCGGCTTCAAGATCTTTCCAAACAGATGCAGCACGTTCAACGTGGTGGTGCACATCTTGTTCGCTTGGAAGCTTTGTCTTCTCTCCAAGAGATTGAGTGATGCCTTTATCCTGCAAAATAGATATTGGAGATATGGATATTGGAGATTGGACAAAAATTGAGGAATCAAGAACAATCTGGACAGCACAGTGACAACTTGGAAAGAATGCTCACACTCAATGCATGTGTTTGTTTGCTTTGCCCACGTCCCACATCCCATGTTTGCCTGATAGCCGGAAACAACATCTTGTTCTTCGCATGGCATCCACAGTCTCCACACCTATGTGACTTGTCACAGAGTGACAAGTTCTAGAGTCAGAGTCATGAATCAACACTCTAGACCAACAGGGGAAACAAATTCAGATTCAAGGAAACACTGACCACAGCACTGCACTGACTACTCAGGTGCCTCACCAATTTCAATGCCTTCTCTGTTTAGAGCCATCACTTTGTCTCGACGAACGGTTGGATCAGTGAAAGCACTCTGCCATTTCCGTTCTGCTGCGCCCTTGTCCAATCCTGTGCAAGTTGCGGTTACAGACTGAAACAACACGACGACAACGACTGCGACAACAACTACAACCAGGCAACACAACAACACACGCGCACACACACACATATATATATATTATATATATATGTAAATACAAAACAATTCATTGTCATAAGTCATAAGCATAATAAGCGTATATTATATGAGGCATGACGCGTGCGATGATACCATCAGGCAAGTTCAACCAAGGCTCTTGCCCAACTTGGAGCCTTGTCAGAATTGGACCACTCAACAAAATCTTGCTTGGCCATCGGCCGTCGAATCATATTGTCCATACACCTGATTCCTGTTGTGCGATGTTGAGTGAGCTTGCTGAAATCCCACTGGTTTCGCTGTTTGCCACGTCCTGTTGGTGGGCACCTAATCAAAAGCGCAAGAACTCAGCTAAAAGCGCAGGAACTCAGCTAACTCAGAACAAGGCGGGACAACAGTTCAGTCAGACAACAGTTCAGTCAGGGTGAGTGTCAGTGCTAAAAGAAAGTCACACACAGTGACAGTCAAGTCAAGGTGCGTATCTGCAAAATCAAGCAAGTGCTTCAAGAACACTGCTGGATCATGTTTCTCCAAATATCGTAGTCTCTCCAATATCTCCTTGGAATTCCTGGATTTCGATGCCTGTTTGTACATGGCGTCTTTGTAAGTAGTGTGCCCACCACAAATCTGGATCAGCCTTATGTGTGAAACACATCCATGCCAATGCCAACTGCTAGCAGCGACTCGCAACTTGGCACTTAGCGCAGGAAATCTCAACAAACTTCAGTCGAGTTGCTTTGATGGTTGGCGCATGAATTTCACCTCGCAGCGCTCGACCTCACATTCAACCTGAAAAATGCCAAGTCCTCCTGCTGGCCCTCTTGCTCCTAGTTCTGCTTCACCAAGTGCAGAAGCTGGAGTTGTGGGAGACATAGTAGGGTCTGGCACAAAGGATGGTGAAGGCTGTGCAGATGAGGCTGGGGTGGTCATCAAGGCCAATGCGAAGCAATCCGTGTCACCTTCCATCGACTCAATTACTGTACTCTGGCTGGCCGTTGGCGGGGAGTTGTATGATGTGCGGAAATTTGAGCAAAATGCTTCTTGCAAACAACCCATCCAACTGAAATCATAATACTGCCTATCATGCTTTCGGGTACTTGGCACAGTTCACACGAGCAAGTATGGCGCTGCACACACACACACAAATGACAACACAGTCCTGCATGGTCATATGGTGGATTGTGTAGTGCTCACCGAGCCACTTGCTGAAAACAGACACTGGAAACTGTGGCCCACATTCATGTATCAGAATGTCCTGGCACAGCGGCACCAAGTGATTCATTCTGTTTGGGCCTCATTGACACGGAGTCCTCTAGAACTACCAATCTTTCAGCGACCCAAACACTGAGGGGAATGACGCTCTTGCCCAGCAGACCAGCGCCATTGCCTTGGGATGGCCAGCAAAGCCATGGTCAGAGTCAGGTCAAGTCAATCTCAGAGCTCAAGTTGTACCAGTCAAACATTGTGCCAAACTACCGATCTGGCTGACATCAACACAAGTGGAACCAGCGGTTGCACACTTGAGGATTTTCTTATCACTCATCTCATCTCCTCCAAGTTCAGCTAGATGAAATCCGTATGGTGTCAAGCAGTCCTGCCACCAGCAAAGGTCTGATACAGACTCAGACCCACACATGTCAAACAACTTTCTCAAACAGTCTCACAGCGAACAGCAAACCAATTCGGACGACGAATAGCATTTCTCAACCCTGTTGTTTTATCAACTAGGTTTGCTTGCATCTCTCTCTGTGCACTTGTCAAGGAAGGGAACTTGAACTAACTACAGTAATGCACGCACCGCATTGCATTACTAGAATCAGCTAGAATCTAGGATCTATGGGCGGCGGCAGCGGGGCCAAAACTAAGATTTGATCAGACTTGCATTGATCTGATCATCAAATCAGGCCACACACTACAATTCAATTATACAAGATTGCACTCAAGAAGTCCGGTGTGTCTGGTACCTCTGAAAGAAGTCTGTGCCTGGCGGCACAGGGTAGAAGGCAATCTGGGTATTCTGGACATTTTGGAACCCATTTTGCTCTTGCCCTGTAGCACCATTGGATGCAGACGCTGTGATGTTTGCAGCCACCGCGACTCCACTTGAGTTGGATTCAGGCTCACTTGTTCTCGTCGCGGCTAGAGCAGCAGCAAAGGCGGAAACCTCAGCCTCAATGGGTGCCTCGACGCCATTTGGCGTTTCAGCTTCATCCACAGGGGACCCGGCCACAAGGCGATTGTTGATATCATGGGTCACTGGTGTTTCCAATGTGTCACTGCTACCCACTCCAGCCGCATGATGAGGGGCCACTGTCATTTCAACATTTGTCCTCGCCGTGGTATCAGCATCATCAATGATTGGATCATCTGATTCTTCATTCACAGCCATAGCCATAGCTCCAGCCACAGGAGGATGATTCTGCCCCTCACTCTCACCATCACCGCTTAAAAGCACATCTGAATCTGAGTCGGATGATGAATTGAAGAAGAGTCTGGCACCTGGGCGTGGTGGTGATATGGTGATGTTCACATTCGATGACAAATAACCCGCCACTTGAATTGACGCAGACATGGTCATAGGGCAAACACACTTCCCATTGGCATGAGCGCGATGTGCCATCCCTTGGAACTGGTCCATCAAGAAGCCCACAAAGTCTGTCAAGGCAGTTGGCGGTTCCAAAACCTGGTTACTTGTCACCACTGGGGCTGAAGGTGGAGAATTGTTCACTGACATCAAGTTGGCTGAGTCATCGCACTTGATATCCACCACCAGGTGTGCGCCCAATTCATTTGCCATGTGACCCGATTGACGCATAGAAGCAACCATGACTGAGAACTTGTGCTGGGCCATTGAGAAGAATGAGCCAATGGTCAAGTTCATGTCAGGATCTGTGACAGTGTTGGACCTGAATGCACACATTGGTCCGGTCATGTCCACACCAGGAAATTGTGCGCTGCCAGTGCCAGCTGCAACTGCTGCCCTGAACGCATTGACATTTGGACGAGCCATTTGAGTGACAGCTATCAGCTAAGCAACAGAATGACTTGACCCCTGAGCCTGAGCCTGAACCAAATGCTATCGGTTGGTGCTAGTCGGAATCTGTCAAGTGCAAATAACAGTGTTGTGGCACGTGGCACAGTGGTAGGTTAGGTCACAAGTGACAAGTGAGTCACAAGACGTAAGAAACTGACAAGCGGTCCTTTGGATGCTTCTTCAGAGAGCACCCATAACACCTGGCCGCGGCACGAAAGGTCTCTGTTGGGGAATCTCGAAGAAGACGTTGCATCAGCTCGTCAAACAGTTCTTCTCCACATTTGGTATGAATCTCCTTGCTTTGAGTCTGGGTCAATTCATTCTCGTTCAGGTTCATGACATTCCAACCTCATCACAACATATATATGATGATGGTTTGTGCTTTTACCTGATCACGACGACAAACACCAGATGGACCTGCACAGTGACTTAGCGACAGTGACTTGATTGCTCCAAAAATCAACATACAATATGCAGAGTAGCTTTGCGCATTGTTCAGCTTGGTGTTACAAGCGTCCAGTTTCATGTCTCGGAGTCTGTGAAGATCTGCAGCAACACGTGGATTGATATGGTCCAGAATATCTCCACCTATGTGCTCTGGTCGGAAGTCCTGCACAGCTTTCAATCGAGCAGTGCCGCAGTGCCAATGACTTGTCATACATGCAGCACAGTGGAATTTAGCAAAACACACCTAAGTACAGTGACCAGTCATTGACTGCTAAAAAAACACAACCAGCTAGCAAGGTTCCTTGTGCGTTGAGCCCAACATGTTTCTGCACTGAGCATCGACATCACAAGCTGTGACCGTCCGCACTTTGCCTTTGGCCTCGTTCGTCAAATGCCCGGCAGAGGTGAGATGACCTAAGCGCTTGTCAAATACAACTAAAGTATCATTGCAAATTGCAAATTGAAAAAACCAAACTAATGTTGAATTATATATTATATTGTATATATATACATATTCTCAATTCAAAAGAGTTACGCATCAATTCGTGATGTTGCAAATGCAAAGTCCAACTTGCAGTTCCAGCTCCACTGTAAGCATCATTGAGTAAAATATCATGATCAGCTAGAGCTTTAATTGTCTCTATTGACTCTGCATTCTCGAGAAGTACCGAGCTGTTGTACTCTGACCAAGCATACAGCTCAGTGAGGTTTGCTGGCCCTGCTGGCCATCCCGCTTTCGTCACCTGCCAGAAGCAAAACGAGACTTGAAAGAAAGACCAAGAGAAAACATATCAGGCGCAAAGCAAAGCAGGACCAGGGGAAAAAAACACAATTGAGTTGGAAACCACAAAACTGGTCCAGTCCTGTTTTTGTACTGTCCATACAGCGTTGTCATTCTCAACATCTTCAATCTCAACGACGCCATCGTTTGTTATGTCAGTCTCAAGCTCAACTGGACACTCAGCTGCAGGAGGCAGCTTTGGGTGATCCTCTCCGGACTTGTCGCCCGTCCCTGGCCCCAGGATTGTTTCTGAGACATCTGAGTCCGAGACAGAGATTGAATCATCTCCGCTTGTGCTAGATTCATGCCCAGACTCCGATCCAGAGGAAGTTGAGGATCCTCTCTCAGAATTGCTGGATATGTCCATGTGCCTTCTACACTGCGCCGGAACGTTCTCTACTCAACACCAAGGCACAATGAACCCTTTTCCTTGAACATAGAGGCTCTTGCAACATGGAAACCATAGGGAGTATTAGAGTATGCTGAGGGAGCCTAAATTCTTGCATCCTGGGCCTTACAAATTAAAAATCACAAAAAAAGTTAAAAGTTCGCAGAGCCTGCGAACTTTTAACTTTTTGGTGGTGTGGCTATGTATAGTTTTGGTTCACAGGTACCTGTTCAGCACTCAGAAACAAAAACAGTATTGGCAAAACAGTACTTTTTTGTGGTATTGTTTTATATTTTGGAGCTGTTCCAGGGCCTCGAACAAACACTTTATACATAGTCTGAACCCCAAAAAGTTAAAAGTTCCCGGGCTCTGCGAACTTTTAACTTTTTTGGGGATTTTTAAGTTTTGAGGTTGTTGGTCTCCAAAAGTTCAGGCAATGCAAGACTCAGGTTGAAAAATGAACCCCTATGCAGGACATCCTGACATGTTGCCTGCACAATAAAGTTAAAAGCTGTCATTTAACTGACTTTTGTGAATTGTAACTTTTAGGCTGTGCCCCTGAACAGGACATCCTAAGATGCTCCCCACAGAAGAAGTTTTTCACTTTCAGGCTGTGCCTTGAGCAGGACATCCTAAGATATTCCCGACAGAAGAAGTTAAAAGTTCGCAGACTTTGCGAACTTTTAACTTTCAG